TGTATTTGCTTTAGCACTTACCTCACTCCCCCCTTGACCCTTATTTAATTAAGTAAGCTTTAAAAATACCTGTTCAAGAGCAGTGGCATAGCCCGTGGGCTGTGTGGGCTCTGGTGGCAGCTCTGTCGTTTATGAACTGTAGAGGCCAGCCATTTAGTTAGGTTTACTTTCCTTATCTAAACAGGGATAATAATAAGGCCTACCTATTTCCTCTCATGTAGTGGGGGATAGCACGGTGGCTACCAGAATTGAACTAGTTAATATTAGCAGAATTCTTTAGACAGTATCAGACACACAAGGTTATCAAAGGTTATCATAGGTGTTTCTTAAATAAGTTGTTCAAAAAAGTTTAGTATAGTCTCAATTTTTAATATCAAACTAGTTGAGCATTTGTAAGTATAATACTATTGTCAGATGACACTGACTTCACAAATCACATATGCCACAAAAGAGACTCTCTTCCTGTTCTTCACAGTTATCAAGTATAGATATAGATATAGAAACAAATAAATACATAAGTATATCTTCTGTGTGTCTAAACCAGTGTTTTTCAACCTTTTTTGGGCAAAGGCACACTTGTTTCATGAAAAAAATCACGAGGCACACCACCATTAGAAAATGTTAAAAAATTTAACTCTGTGCCTATATTGACTATATATAAAGTAATTCTCTTGAATAGGAATCAAATAAACACAAAGAAAGTATTTTATAATTACTTTATTATGAAATATTAAGTAAACAAAATACTGAAAAATTATAAAATTCTTGTCTTGTCTGCACCTACGGCACACCAGGCAACATCTGTGCCGCGGAACAGCGGTTGAAAAACGCTGGTCTAAACATATGTATATACCGTATTTTTCGGACCATAAGACGCTCCGGACCATAAGACGCACCAGTTTTTAGAGAAGGGAAATGAAGAAAAAAAGATTCTGAAACAAATAGTGTCCTAAAATATTTTATGTGCATTAAAACCCAACATCACAGTCATAAACACATGTAATCAACCCTGTAAAGTAAACAGCAGCATTTAGAACCATTTTAGAGCCGGGCAAGCACACAGAGACCACACAGAGCTGGGCAAGTAAAAAAACTTTTTTTTAAAAGTATATGTGTAGGCTATATTTGGACCATAAGACGCAGGGACTTTTTCCCCCCACTTCTGGGGGAAAAAAAGTGCGTCTTATGGTCCGAAAAATACGGTACATATAAAACATGTCTGACTCCCATGCACAATCTAGGTAAAGTGGTCTAAAGTCAAACCAACTAGTCAACCATTTCTTAATACTAACAGGTTTTTTTCATAAAAGTTTTCAAGAAGATAGAAAATAATCTGTTGTAGCACATATTAATTAAATAAGACATGACTAATGGAACTTGCATATTAGATTCAGAGATGTTCATTTATCCTGCCTAAACATTATGTGGATCTTCAGTTATCTTTTGCTTCTACTTTTGATAAATGTTTACTGCTCTGAAATGTTTTTGAGTAGATTAGTGATGCTTATGTGTACTTATTAATATTAATATCTTTCTTTAATTGTACTTTTGCTGTAAAGGTAAGGATAACATAATCAGTCAGGAACAAACACTGACCTAGAGTGAGCAAAATTTTTGAATAACTAAATTGGATTCTAGAGGGAAAAAAAACCTTTTGCTGGTTTTAAAAACTCTTATTAAATTCACAGAAAAAGTAAAATGTAGGATTTCTCTAAATAGTGACGATTTAGGTCATAATGAAAGTTTAACTACTTATTTTCATTTTGAGATTTCCCTTCCCCTTGGGGGAGGGGGGAGGAGGAGACAGGACTTAGATGAAGATAAATCTGTGATTTGAATAATTATTCCCTTGAGTTATTCTCTTTTCAAATTTTAACCTTTTTAAAAAAAAAGGCAAAATAAACTATAATTCCATTACTAAACTACAACTCCTCTGCAATTGCAATAATGTCAGAATACAAAAGTATTTGAAAAAGAAGTGTTAAAAAATTTAAAAACATATGTATATAAAGACCAATAAAATACATAAGTATTCGTTTAATTTCCATCACACAAACTTAGCATTATTGCTCATACTCTATTCCCAGTTTTCAACATCATTTTCTGGTAACCATTCCTTCTCTGCGAGCTCCCTTAACTAGAAAGTTACCTTGAAAGTTATTTCATTCATGAACAAAAGTCTCTAAAATGAAAGACCATCCTGCCAGACATATCAAAAAAGCCAAGGAAAATTCTCCTCAACTAAAATTTCCATGAGATATTTCCATGTGTCTAGAAAATCCTAAATAACTATTTTTGTTAATTTGATGACTTACATAGTAGAATTGCATTTTTAAGAGATGTTACTGTTTCTGAGTTTATAAAGAGATAAGAAAAGGAGCAAAATGTTTGCTGTTTTTCCTATGAATTTGAGTTTGCTTGCTTAATGTAACAGGACTATTTGCATTTATTCATGAATGAATACTACTGACATATACAGACCGGGCACTGTTCCACAGAAGTCAGACACAGAGAGCTAGAGCAATGCACAGATAGTTGTATTTCTCCAGAGTATTCAGACAAAGAGCAAGAAGATCAAAGTCAATATCACTTCTCTGAAGTTGAGTCATACCTAAATGATGTGGTGCGTTAAGAATATTGGCGGGCTTTATGGAGGAAGAAGGTTGGCTGGTTGACATCTGTGTGATTTTTGAATCAGGCACTCTTTGTGGGCTACCTACTTTGGGCAAGATGCTGCCTCCCGAGTAAGCCACTGCTCTGCAGGCCTTTTTCACACAGTGTAGGAGTAAGCATTTTGCTGCCACTGAAAATCCTTTCTTGTTTAAAATAACACCCAGCTCAGCTCTGCATATTGTGTGTGCTCATGTGTTCAAGAAATACTTTTTGAATGAGGGAAAATTCAGTGAGTAAGAAGGTTATTCATTCAAAAACATCTGTGTAGGTCTGCAGATTGGTAAGGACAATAATGCAAGCATAATCAGCACACTGTAGGCAGCACCTTCTCACAGAGATGTCAAAGGAAGCAGAAATCTAAACTTAAGGTCTGGCTTCACCTGGCAACCAGGATCCTGGTACTCCTGTGAGACTCCACTGAACACCATACTTAGAATTTCCGGGTTAATCTACTTTGTGCATCTATGTGAGTCTATCACTTTACATTACTAATGTGTCTATAGATTTCTATTAATTGAGAAAAGACTCCTTAAAAACAGTGGAGAGTAATTTGAAAGAGGCCAGGGCAGTCTTCATTTCTTCACTGTTAAAATTCCCTGCACTGGAAGGCAGTGAAATGTAAACTACAGTTTCCTTCCCATCATTATGTTTCTGGGAACATCTTTGTGTCTCCATCAGGTCACTGGTGAGCTGGCGACTGACTTCGCATTCCTAACGAAGCCCACCTTGCTGCTCACTCAGTCCCTCTAAGCAAGGACCATCCGTACACACATACAGGGAGGAAGGGAATAGTATTGTTTTCCTTTCTCCTTTTAAAAGCTTCCCTAGGAAAAACCACCAGAATAACTTAAAAATAAATCTGCTGCATTCAACATAATCGATACCAATGAAGAACATTTAAAAAAGTTTTGATATCCAAATTTGTCATTGCTTTATCTTTTCAACTTTTTTTTTTTCTTGGCATAGAAGTTGAATATATTTGAAATAAGCTGTAATGTGGAAACATTTGTCTAAAGCCCTGGAATACGTCAAGGCTACTGAGCAAAAGCTTCCAGAAGCGCCAGCTTTCTATCACTTCTAGCAAGTCAGCTTAGAAAGGAGCAGCGTTACCCAAAGGACGCCCACCCAGGCTCACTCCCACACTGGCCCCACCCCGCACACTCTTTATCAGACTAAGTTTACATAAACCAGAGAAGCGTTACAGTGCCATTCAAGGCATCCACGAAGTAATATGATATAAAGCACTTTGCAAATATTAAACTTCCCCTTAAGGGATCAATGTCTTCCATGAAGAAGCTGGTGCTGAGGAGAGGGAGGGAAGTTGGGAGGAAGACAGACCTACCGGCCTAGGGCTAGGACTGGGGAGAGACCCGGGATCTCAGCAACCGCTCCTTTGGGTCAGCGCCCTGAAGCCCTCAAAGGAGGGAAACCGGAGAGCAGAGCCCCCAAGCTGCAGTGACGGGAGTTCTGGCTGAGGTCAGCTAGCTGCGCGCCAGGAGCGGCCAGGTAGAGGCATCCACCGGAGGTTGGGCGCTCCTTCCTCGCCTTCCTGAACCGAGGCTGTCGCCCAAGTTCCAGGAGCAGGACTCTGAGCTCCAGCCAGCGGCCACAGCGACCTCGTGCACCGCTTAGTAATAGCAATGTAACCGTCCCCTCGATGGCATCCAATTCCGGAGTGTGTGTGTGTGTGTGTGTGTGTGTGTGTGTGTGTGATGGGGTGGGTGGGACGGGTTGCGTGAACTAGGGGGCGGGAACTGGGGCTTGGAGGGGTGGAGGCCAGATGGGGAGAATACACCCCATCCTTCATGCTCACTAGCCTTTGCCTGAACCCTGCCTCGGACCTCGCAGACACCCACCTCCCCCAAAGCCGACTTGCATGGCAAGCGACAGCCCTACCGTCACCCCTGGGAAGTGGCCAGGCGCGAGCCCCCAAACTCTGCCGAGTGCCTTCAAACGCGGACTGCCTCCCAAAGAGCACTGAGCGCTGCACCCACCTTTGGGAGACGCGGACTGACTAACACCGGTGGTTACTCTCAATTTACCCCAGGAGGCACCCCGTCCTTTCCCATCCCGCACTCCTTTAGCCCAGAGGCCCAGCGAATGTCTCCAAAGTCTTTCCAGGCAGTGCCCAGCCGTGCCCAGCCTCACTAAAGTACTTTGGCTGGCATCGCACGGGCATGGGTATCTCTCCCGGATGCCTCCTCCCTTGCTATTTCCCCCAGATCTACCAGGTTCCAACCCGCTGTGTTAGAGTCCTCGCCCCCTTCAATTCCTCCCCCACCCCACCCCCGGCCCCTGGCGCGGAGCGGGCGGCTGGCATCACTTACCGCGGTCCCCGGCGCTGGCGGCAGAGGCGCGGGCGGGAGCCCAGGGCGCGGGCAGCCCGTGCCAGGCCGCCGGGCGGCCCTGACGGTCCCTGCGGCACTTGGTCCAGTAGTTTCGAATGCCCGGGCTTCGGCGTGGAGAGCCAGCCAGCCAGCCGGCTCGAATGGGAACGGGAAAGCGGGGCTCTCCGTGTGCCGCGCGCGGGAGAGTCAGAAGCGGGCGGGCCCCACGCGCAGGGGCGATCGCGGTGGCAGGTCCTGGCCGGGGGGGCCGGCGGAGGAGGAGGAGGCAAAGGAGGAGGAGGAGGCGGGCGGGAAGTACGCAGCGGAGTTTAGGGAGCGATCCCTGCACTTCCCCGGGAGACCGGAGCCAGGTGCGGCAGGGCGCGCTCCCGCGGCGCGGGCACGGCACGGGCGGCCGCCGGGGCTCGTGTCCGCGCGGCGCCGGGGCCCGCAGCCGCCCCGCGGGAGGAGGGGCGCATCCTCCTGGCCCCGCGCGGGCACCGGCGCGTCTGGGCGCTGAGGACAGAGTCTTCGGCGTCCCCGGTAGACAGTCCCTAGGGCAGCCGGCTCCTTCCTGATTCCGCGCCCCCCCAAAAAAAGCAACGGTCAGCTGGGTTCTTCCCTTCCTGGGTCGGAGCTCCCGGTGCCAAGCGGTGCGGGCTCCCCGCTCCTCGCGGCTGGCTGGCGCTGTCACGGCCGCCGCCCGGCCCCAGCGCCCCAGCCGGCAGCTGCCTGCCTCCCGGAGACGTGCCCAGCTGTGAGCGCGCGTGTGTGTCTAAGCGGATCGCTTCCCCTCCATCACCCGGCGCGCGGGAGGCACGGGTCCCGGCGGCCAGCTGCGGAGTGGCTGCCAGTCCACACCCTCGGGGCTCTCTCCCCACCCACCCCGCCCCTACTCCTGCCCGGCCTCTCCCTGCGTTCCCGGCTCCTCCTCCAGCGGCCGCTCCCGGCTCCCAGAGGCGGGGAGGAACCTCTCCGTGGAGGGCGGGGAAGGAGGCGCAGGTGTCTTCCCGGGAGAGGTGGGCGCACACGCCCGAGCGGCTCCGGCAGGGGCTGGGCAGGGTTTTAGGCGGAGAAAGGGGAGGAGAGGATGTACCCGGAGGTGGAGGTCCTGTGGCTGAGCCCCCCCACGTGTCCTACCCAGGCGCGGGAGCCGCGGGCCAACTGCGCGGTAGGGAGGGAGGCGGGGTGCTGCCCTCCACCCCCAGGTGGATTGGGGTCCTTGCCCGGAGAACCCGCGGAAGTGACCTGAGTGGCAGAACCCCGGGGGATCTGGAAGTCCGAGGGACTCACTCTCTGAGTGGTCGAGATCGGTCTTTTTCGGGGTAACAGGGGCCGGCACCTGGAGCTTGGGGGCACACAGGTGTCCGGGGATCTCGTGTGTGGCTCCAGCGTGCAGGGCTGGAGAGCTGGGTCGGAGGGTGTGCGGGGTGGCAGCGGCGGTTCTCAGGCTGCTGTGTGCCTCCCGAGTCGCAGGGGGCGATCACCGCCTAGCTGGGAAGCAGCGGAAATCTGGGCGTTTGTCCAGGTCCAGGTCCCAAACTCACCTTCCCGATTCAGGCGAGGTCCCTCCTCCCCCAGCTCCCAGCAAAAACAATGGGCCGGGGACTCTTATGAACTAGATGTTACTGCGCTCTTTGCCTGATGGAAGGGGTCTCTCCCACCTGATCTGAGATTGATGGGCTGCTGCTTCTCTCCCAACCCCAGCCCCCTCCTTTATTTGATAAAGTTTTTCCCTGTGGAGTTTCCTAAAAATAACCCCTTTTTTTTCTTCTTCTTGGCTGTGGAGGTATCAGGTCTCTCTATAATTTCATAGTAAAATGCAATACACAGAGAGGTCCTTTAGGCGGGGAATCACTGCGTTAATGCCTATGACTGCTGTCTGTTTTCAAATGACTGTCTTAGAATGCAAAGTTGCGTCAACCCCACCCCCACTCCACCCCAAGGTGGGTGGAGCGGAGGGTCCATTTAATCAGAGGGCTGTTAGAATGATCCCTGGAAACCACACTAGAAAGAATGGTGATGCTTTCTCTAGCACCCATTCCTTTTTATTAAATGGTAATTTCACCGTTAGTTTAGGCAATCTGAAAATGAAAGGTCTGATATACAATTGGCAAGGCACAATATTTCTAGATTCCCAGTCAACAGCCAGCCAGTCCAGCCCCTTCCCCCCTCACTCTCACCCTGACATCCAAAGGTCTGACTCAGAGTTCCTAACACTTTTTAAATTTCAGGATACAGCTGGAAGGACAAAGCTGTTGAGTTCTAGAAAGAGATAACTTAAATGTAAGTAAACTTATTTACCAACTGCTCAGACAAAATCAGAAGCTCAGCAGCAGCAACCAAATGTATCTTGTTTAATGTATTGAGTTGGAGGAAAGATGGCTGTTTGCCAGATATGTGATCCATTAACCTCTTTAGCTCATTGTTAGCAACAATAGCATACAATCACATTCTTATGTTTGAAAGACAAGGGGTTGTTTTTTCCCCATCTCAAAATCACAATGTCCCATTATAGTCTGAAACCTCAAACAATAAAAGTAATAAGAAAGGAAGAATCATCAGTTTGTTTTTTTTTTTTTTCTTTTTCTTTTTCTGAACAAATGTTGCTGTTCTGGTTTTTTTTGTTTTGTTGTTGTTGTTTTTTTTTGAGGGGGAAAATGCCGATAAGCAATACAATTCACAAAGGCATGACAATAGATTTTGAAGAATGCCTCATTCTGTCTGTCCTTTTAATTAGTAAACTTTATTTAAAACGTTTATATTATCTTTTTCATGGTATCCTTTTCTTCCATTGGGCCAGGAAGATCACTGAGGACAATGGGGTGGGATGAACCTGGTTTCTCAAACTTCTGTCCTGCTTTAGGTTTAAGTCTGGCAGGAGAGGGACATTCAGCAGCCCGAGCTTTCTCAGCAGTCCTAACCTCTCTTCAGAGGATCCTTAACTCTAATCCTAGCGATGGAGAGGAGATTGTCACAGTGATGCTGCCTAGCTTGTGAAGATCACACCTGGGGCTGAGAGTGGGTACAGACCAAGAAACTGAAGCAAAGCCTGGCGGTTTCTACCCTGCCTACCTTGCCTGTGGTTAGAGGAATAGATCAGAATAAATGCCCTCCCTGCCCCCTAATACACACACACTTTTTTTTTTTTTTTTTGGATGCTGTTCTTCTGCACCCACAGATGATCTGGCCTCCTGTTAGGTGAAGTGCAAAGGTGAGTGGATGAGGTCCAACATCTTTAGTAGAAACATTTTGGTATTGTGCTAAATTAAATAAAAGTAAACTCTAGACAAAGCGGCATATCCAAAAAATCTCTTTGGAAATGCACTTTTGATAACAGTCACAGATTTAGTGGTTTTGTTTAGTCACCAAAGCCAAATGAAGTGCACAGTAATGAAAACATTTGGTTATTTAGAGTGTTCATTTGTTAAAAAGAAAATGAAAAAATTTTCCCCAAGCATCATCACACTTTCTTTTTTCATAAAGATGTGCAACTCTTAAATATTGCTCAGCTTGCAGTTTCAAATGGAGGCAGTTCTCTCACTTCACTATGGAAGTGTTTGTCATTATTAGAATATAAAGGAGGTAGCTGACTTAGTTTCTAATTTTTTTTTAATTTTAATTCTTTTTTATTTATTTATTTATTTATTTATTTATTTATTTGCTTCTAACCAGCCAATCACTGATATCTAGATTCACTTGGATTGGCAAATATTCACTGAAAGGACCCATTTATGTGCCAACCACCAGAAACCAAGAGGTGACTAAGAGAAGCTTCTGCACTCATAGGGCAAGCTTGGTAATTACTAGGGTTATCAGGTTGACCTGGAGTCCTTCCCTTATCTGGAAATGAACCCATACACCTACCTCCATGCTCCATCCCTATACTTACGTATCACTTGGATGAAAGAGGCTTAAAAGTATAAGGTCATACCTGATTGTAAGGGAAGAATTTCTTTCTTTTCTTCTTTTAATACATTTTATTGATTTTCACAGAAAGGAAGGGAGAGGAATAGAGAGCTAGAAATAGAGAGAGAACTATCTACCAGATGCCTCCTGCACACCCCCTTACTGGAGATGTGCCCGCAACCAAGGTACATGCCCTTGACTGGAATCGAACCTGGGACCTTTCAGTCCGCAGGCTCTATCCACTGAGCCAAACTGGTTTTGGCAAGGGAAGCATTTCTTATAGAGGAGGTGGTCCACAGATGAGATGTCACAAACTATGAGGATGGTAAAGAGGATTTAAGACCTCTCTAAGTCTAGACCAGTACAGGCCAATAGAAGTGTAATATAAGATATAAATATATCTAGTAATAATTAATGTCGTTTTTAAACATTCGTTTAAAATCTTGCTTGGCGTTGACTTGTATTGACATAACCTTCAAACACGTGGTATCTACAGAACGTGTGAAGTGCAATTAACAAGTTTTGCTTGAAAAAGTTTGTGTTTGGTTTGGTTTTTGTTGCAAAACTAGGGCTAAGAAGATGGCAGATGAAGAGCATATTCGGCACTGCATGCTTTATGAGTTCCAATTAGGAAGAAAAGCAAGTGAGGCTGCAAAAAACATCTGTAGTGCTCTTGGTCAAGATGCAGTTAGCACCAGAAAATGCCAGCGTTGGTTTGAGAAATTTCGCGAGGGAAATTTTTCATTAGATGACAAGAGTGGTCGAGGCCGTGTGTCCAATTTTGATCAAGAAGCTCTTCAAGCTCTTTTGGTGCAAAATCCTCAAATTACGCAACAAGAGCTTGCGACAACTTTAAATTGTTCACAAAAAACAATTTCCAATCAATTGCGTGCACTTGGCAAAGTCCAAAAGTTTGGAAAATGGGTTCCTCATGAGTTGACCGACAACAACCGTAATCAAAGAGTCACAATTTGCAGTTCGCTCCTCTCTCATCAAAACCATTTGCCGTTTTTAGAGCAAATTGTTACCGGAGATGAAGAATGGGTGCTGTTATGTTAATTTGAAAAGGCGGCCTCAATGGTTGGACAAAAATGAGGCTCCGCAGCCCACGCCAAAACCTGACTTGCATGCGAAAAAAGTGATGTTGTGTGTTTGGTGGAATTTTAAAGGAATTCTTCATTATGAACTTTTACCATCTAACCAAACCATTACAAGTGCAGTGTATAGTACCCAATTGGAAAGGTTAGCCCAAGCTTTAAGAGAAAAAGAACCCGCGCTGATTAATCGGAAGGGCGTAATTCTTCACCACGATAA